CAGAACTGTGGCTTGCCCAAGGTCATCCAGCAGGTGCAAGTGGAGGAGTGGGGGTATCAAACCCAGTTCTCCCAGATTAGAGTCCACGCACTTAACCACCACACCAAACTGGCTCTGGTAAGTAGGTAGGTAGGTAGGTAGGTAGGCGGAAGAAAAGGAAGAGATTGGATTTATACCCCGCCCTTCACTACCCAAAGGTGTCTCAAAGTGGCTTACAAATTCCTTTCCCTTCCCCTCCCCACAACAGACACCCTGGGAGGTAGGCGGGGCTGAAAGAGCTCTGACAGAAACTGCTCTTTTTCAAGAACAGCTCTTACCAGAACTACGGCTTGCCCAAGGTCATCCAGCAGGTGCAAGTGGAGGAGTGGGGAATCAAACCCGGTTCTCCCAGATTAGAGTCCGCGCACTTAACCACTACTCCAAACTGGCTCTCGGAAGACTCTGCGTGCAAACTGTGAGCGTGTTTATACCGCTGTCGATTCCCGTGCTTTTTCTAAACCTGTCCGAATATCAGCACCACACTCAAAAAAGAGGTTAAACAGTCACTCACTCTCTTTCCTTCTCGGTCAGCTTGTCATTGATGTTATCTTTGATGGTAGACCTGGAGCCCTTGTGGATGATTGGATACCTGAGCGGCACTTGCAGGAAGAAGGAGATCATGGAGACTAAGTGCGCCGTGTAGCCCAGGGCGACGGCAATGCTCCCATCATCCTTTGCTGTAAAGGAAAAGAACACAGAGCCGGGGGTCACTCCCAGGAGCGGGTCACCAGCATGTTCTCAAGCAGCCTCCTTTCTTCCTCTCCCGCCCCTAATTTCTTATTAGTGTGACAAGGACCTAGTAGGTGATATGAAAGATCTCAGCCTGAGACCCTGGAGAGCTCCTGCCAGTCTGAGTAGACAAGACTGACTTTGATGGGTCGAGGGTCTGATTCAGTGGGACGTGATTTTCATGTGTTCTATCTATCTATCTATCTATCTATCTATCTATCTATCATCTATCTATCATCTATCTATCTATCATCTATCTATCCATCTATCTATCCATCTATCTATCTATCCATCTATCTAGAACAGAACACACTTGAGTGGCCCAGCTTCATTCTAAGCCCTCTCGGCTTCTTGATCCCACGTCAAAGATGGCTTCGCTCATCTGTTTCCGAGGCCATACCTGTCCCCTGCTGCCAACTTAAGAAGAAGAGGAGGAGACTGGATTTATACCCTGCCCTTCACTACCCAAAGGTGTCTCATAACGGCTTACAATCTCCTTTCCCTTCCCTTCCCCTCCCCACAACAGGCACCCTGTGAGGTAGGCGGGGCTGAGAGAGCTCTCTCTCGAGGACTGCTCTTTTTCAAGAACAGCTCTTATCAGAACTACGACTTGCCCAAGGTCATCCAGCAGGTGCAAGTGGAGGAGAGGGGAATCAAACCTGGTTCTCCCAGATTAGAGTCTGTGCATTTACAAGAAGAAAGATTGGATTTATACCCCACCCTTCATTACCTGAAGGAGTCTCAGAGCGGCTCACAATCTCCTTTCCCTTCCCCTCCCCACAACAGGCACCCTGTGAGGGAGGCGGGGCTGAGAGAGCTCTCTCGAGGACTGCTCCTGAGAGAACAGCGCTGAGAGAACTTGTGACTGACCCAGGGTCACCCAGCTGGCTGCATGTGGAGGAGTGGGGAGTCAAACCCGGTTCTCCCGGATTAGATTCCGCTGCTCCTATCCACCACACCAGGCCGTTTCCCTTAGCCTCTACTACACACCTTGTGCTACGTCTGCGGGAGTCTCATGAATACATGAAGCTGCCTTCTACTGAATCTCCAGGGGTGCAGGCAGAGGTCTTTCACAACACCTAGGAAACTGGCCCTTTTAGTGGGAGACGGTGGGGACCGAACCCGCCACCTTCTGCACGCCAGACTAGGGTTGCCAATCTCCAAGTGGCACCTGCAGATCTCCTGCTATTACAACTGATCTCCAGATGACCAAGATTAGATCCCCCTGGAGAAAACGTCAGCTTTGGAGGGTGGACTCTCCCCTCCCCAAACCCCGTCCCGTCCCCGGCTCCACCCCCAAAAGCTTCAGGTGTTTCCCAACCCAGAACTGGCAACCCTAGGCCGAAGGGATGCTGTCCCGCTAAGACACCTCTCTCTCACATCATACCTGCCGTTCTCCATCTACTCCCAACCATCGCTCAAAGTGCACAAGCAGACTCTCTTGGCTCGGAGGCTGCCATTAATAGTCTCGTCCTCCTTGTGTTTTCATATGCAACTTTCAAACCCTTAAAAGCTTTAGACCTCGGAAGAG